CTCTCAGCGAGATCGCCGCCATCGTCAGCGCCATGGCCAAGGGCGGCAGTCTGTCGGACCTGCTGACCCACCCGGGCCACGCCACCGTGGGGATCTACTACCTCGCCAGGCGGCACCAGGCGCGCCACGTCGCGCTGTGCCCACTGCGGCTCGCCGCTCCCTCTCTCCGCCCCAGCCTCGCTCGCGTTGCGCTCCGCTCCCGACCGGCGCCACGACGGGAAGCTGCCTTGGCGCTCGCATCTCTGCCGCATGCTCGCCCGCTTGCTGTCTCCGGACCTTTGCATCCCCAATCACATGCTGTCGCACTGCTTCATACCAACAACCAACGCCCATCTGCCGCCAACCTGATTCACCCCGTCGCCGTTGCCAGCGCTGCGTATGTGTCTCACCGCCACCCAACTGCCCCGAACGAACCCTGAACCCTAAACCACCAAACCCTGAACCCTTGAACCCTGCCCAGATGGAGCGCCAGGTCGAGGCGCTGGACGGCAGCCACGTGGGCGACGCTGACCTGGTGCGCTCCCTGCTGCACTACGCTGACGCGGCCGACTGCGCCTACCCGGACAGGTGAGGAGGCGGCTGTTTTTGTTGCAGCTTCCCGCCGCGGGCTTCCATGCTCTGTGCTGCAAACGGCAGCAGGGCGAAGCTGGGGCCTGGTTTGGAACTCACGGCCAGGGCTCTAAAGGTCCACTTCTGTGTGGGGCCGGGTGGGGTGCTCCTAGAAGTGCGCACGCAAGCCCTCGTCGCCTCGTAGCCGCAAGCCTGTTCACCCCTCTGCAGCCACCCCGCCTGCTGGCTGGCTAGCCGGCGGGGGCATGCCCGGCCCAACAACTATCGTGGCGTCCGCGGTGGCCGATGCACGCCTGAACCCGCGCTTTGCATCGCCCTCTTGCACCGGCAGCTGGCTGCCGCAACAGGGACCCTCTCCCCGTCAGCGGTTGTTGAATTCGGATCCCCTGGAACCCTGCGTGGCGCCCGCAGGTTTCCCGACATAAAGCTGCGCGGCGTGGTGGCGAGGGACGAGGACGTCTTGTTCCACAGCAAGGAGGCAGCAAAGGGCCAGCCGGTGCGCTGGTCTGCAGTCTTGTTTGCAGGATTGCAAACCTGCTTGTTGGGATGCTACGTAACGGGGCCTAGCTGTGTATGACAGGGGTGCCTATTGGGTCTAGGGGCAGCGACGAACGACCCCATGGGCGCCCCGTCGCCTTGGTCGTATTGCAGGAATCAACCACCGTCCCCTGCTTGCACTGCCGTCCACCAACGTTTGCACGAGCGCCCGCGCCGATTGCACCCGTTACCCCGCCTTTCATGTCTCAAAACTCGACAGGCCTTTTACATCGCGCGCGATCGCGAGCGCCGGGCGATTTCCTGGGTCATCTGCGGCCCTGAGAGCACCTCGGAGGCCCTGGCTGACCTGGCCGGGGGCTCGGCGCCTCTGCCCGGCGGCGGCTACGCGCACGCGGTGCGTGGGTGCGGCAGCTTCTGCATTGGCGACGCCGGCTGGCGACGCGGCTGCCGCTGCGGCCCGCCTTCCTTGTTTCTGCACTGCTTTCCTCTTGGATTAATTTCAAGAACCCGATTCACTCGCACACTTGCAGCGTTTGGTGCTCGATTTGACTTGCACTCACACGTGAACTCAACACCTATCCATCACACACACACACACACACACACACACACACACACACACACACCGTGTTGCAAATGACATACATTAGGGCACGTGGCAGGCCGCCCTGTGGCTCATGGACAATCACCTGCAAAGGGCACTCGACGCCCTGGCGGCACACCCAGGCTACGGGCTCGTGCTGGCCGGCCACTCAGCCGGCGCAGGTGCGCGCCCCGCCCGCCCTGCCCAACGCACACCCTCCCGCCGTCGGCGCCCATGTTTCATGCGTTTGCTGTGTCGAGGGTCCCTGCGCGCCACGGTTAATCTTTGTTATCCTTCTTGGCTGGGCAGTTGCAGCAAAAGAAAGTACAGAGATTCCCACAGACGCGCACGTGCACGCGCACGCTCACGCACGCTCGCCCTCGCACACGCGCCACCCCCCCAGGTGTCGCGGCCCTGGTGGCCCGCGTGCTGACCACCAACCCCGAGCTCATTGCTAAGCTGGGGGCCGCCAAGGTGGAGGCCTTCTGCATCTCGCCCCCGGCAGTCGTCTCCTCGTGAGCCCCGCACCGCCGCCGCCCCTGCCGCCACCCTGCAGCCCTTGCATCCTCGCCCGCCGCTGACCTGCGGCTGGCATCATCTCAGTCTGCCTTACGTCTGCCTCACACGACCCATGGCTGGGCTGGGAGCACGCGTTAGGTGCTTGCTGCTCTCCCGCATCCTGAACAGCTATCGTCACCCCGCACCACCCAGGGTCTCGCCCCCTGAACCGCCAGCTCGGCACAGCTCAAATACCCACATTACAATCCAAATACTCTGGACACGAATGCTACCACAATCCCCCAACCCCTGCCTCCATGGCTGAAACCCTCCCAGTGACGTGGCCACCCAGTGTGGGGACTGTGTGACGTCACTGGTCATGAGATACGACCTGGTGGGACTTTTGAGGGGGGGGGATGAAAGGGGGAGTCATGATGCGTAGAAGAGGCGGGGGGG